ACTATTACTCTGTCCATAGATATTCATTGTGGCCAAGCAAGCACATCTGCCGAACAATCTCTCCAGCTCTTTGTGGAAGAATAGTCAGAAAGATAAGATATAACCTCTGCCTCACTTCCTTTTTCTCTCATTCCTGATGCCCTGGGATTGTGCTTCTCAAATAAACCATCAGTTGGTAATACCAGTATCATGCTCTGTTTCTAGAGAACCCAGACTCAAAGAGTAGATGTAAAAAACCCTCAACAACCATTAGGCTTAATAGTGAAACACAGAATACTTCCTGTTTAAGACCATAAACAAAACAAAAATGCTCAATGGTGAATAAAAATGGTACTAATCTACACAGTAATGTAAGGTAATAGCGTATTAGTCAGCTTTCCATCACTGCAACAAAATGCCTGAAATAATCAAGTAATAAACAGAAAAGTTTTGTTTTGACTCACAATTTTTGAGGTTCCATTCCAAGATCATGTGACCCCTTTGTTTTGGGCCTGTAGTGAGGCAGCACATGGCAGAGTAAAATTGGTCATCTTATGACCAAGAATTAAGACAACCAGGAATAAGCTAGGTCCTATAGTTCCCTTCAAAGTCATACCTCTAATAAGCTGAAGACCTCCTTCTAGGTTCCACCTCTTAAAGGTTCACCACCTCCCAACAGCACCACCCTGGGGATCAAGTCCTTAATACATGGGCCTTACCGCAAACAGTCTACACAACAAAACCAAAAAATAATAATAATGTTATAATAAAGCTAGAAAGGAAGAAATAAATTTTCATTACTCACAGATGATATGATGACCACGTGGATAATACAAAGGAATCCTCAGATACAATTTTACAGTAAGAATTTAGCAATGTATAACTGGATACAACATTGTTATATACCTAAGATTAAATCTAACTAAAGAAATTCAAGAACCTTTTTGCAATATAAGAAAGATCTAATTAAATGGAGATATGCACCATGGATCATGGTGTGTAATACTCCATATTAAACAAATATCATTTGTCTACTAAATTGATGTATAGATCCAATGTAATCCCATTCAAATTCTAACAGGGTTTGAAGTTTTATTTATTTATTTGGTAGACTCTAAAATTTACATAGAAATTCAAAGGGCTAAGAGCAGCAAAGATTTTTTTTGAAAAATGGGAAGGAGTTGGACTACCAAATCCCAAAGGTGACTATAATTAAGATAATTTAAAATTGATGAAAAGATACATTAACCAGACCAATGAAACAATAGCCCTGAAAAAGACCCACAGTAAGAACACTTTATGATAGAGGCAGGAGAGCAGATAAAACGGGGAAAGGATAATACATAAGTGTGGAATCTAAGTTCTGAGGGAACTAAGAAGGAATGGGTTTCAAAAGTACAATAAAATGAGTAAGCTTATGGGGACAAGAGACGTTTCAGGCTCAAGGAAAAGATGATTAAATAGCAGACTGAGAAAGTTAGTATGTTTAGGTTAAAATGAAAGGCTCCCATTATACTCAACTCCTCATCTAGAAAATGGTAACAATATTAAACATAATAGCAAATAACTTAGGAATGGTAACAGCAGTAGCTAAGATTTTTTTTAATGCTTATGTTCCAGGTGCAATTCTAAGTATTCACATGTATTAACTCATTTAATCCTTACACTAATTTTATGAAGGACTTTATCCCCATTTTTCTGATGACAAAACAAAGACATAGAGATCTGATCAACTGCTTAGAATCACACAGCTATTATGTGATGTGGGCAGAATTTCAACCTGTGCAATCTGACCCCAGAGCCTATATATTCTTTGCTATGTTCTGCGTCTCTTGGTTATGAAAATGAGAATGTAGTAAAAAGTACCTTTAATGTGCACAAATGTTCATCCTCCTGCTGAATACCAAGTGATAGGACAAAATCATACAAACAAAATCCTAGCTCACTAATCGACAGTCACTATTCCATAAAGGCAGGGGTCAAGCCCTCAAAAAAGCAGAGAGGCCAGACAAGTAAAGAGGCAATTAGTTGATTTATATAAGATATATCATGCTTTTCTATGATAAGCACTATAATCAGTAATACATGAATAAAAAGATTTCAGAAATCACTAAATCATAGCCTTAAAAAATAATAGCACTACTTGCAAAGAGCTAAAAAAATAATAATAACTGAGCCAGAAAAGAGATCAGTACAATTCTGTTTAAAGTAAAGGTTTCTGAACTATCATGAAACTTAAGAAAAAAAAAAAAAGTCTTCAAACAGCAACAGGCTTTTCAAGAGCAACAAATTTCATATATGCATATCACAGAAAGGATTATCAGTTTCAAGGAAAGGTCCTAAGTCACATTTTATAAATATTTTATTATTTATAAAATTATAAACAATGTTCCAAGCATTTAGAGGTACTGATTTATTTAATCCTCACAACAATCATATGAGGAAAGTCCTTCAATTTTATCCCCATTTTATGTAGGAAAAATGAGACAGCAGTGAAGTCAAGTAACTTGCCCAAGTTTACATAATGAATTACAGGGCCAAGGCTATCAAACCCAGTTTATCTCTACATTTTCTCTGCAGGAAACTTAGAAGCAAAACACGAATTTAGAAGTATTATTTAATATGAAACTTCTTTTGGCATTACTGGGATTTGAACTCAGGACCCCATACTTACTGGGCAGGCTAGAAGTATTATTTAATCATATTTAGTAACAGGGAGAAAAGTACCATTCATTCACAATAAGCAGATAATAGTTATCTACAGCAGTTGTCCTTGCCTTTCTCCCCAAGCTAGTCTGTAGTCTCCCTGAACAATATTATCAGCTCCACTGGCTTCAATCTGCTTGCTACTGATTCCCAAATCAAGGTCTCCAGTTCAATCTGTGTCAAATACCTTCACCAACAACCTAACAGATATGTCCATTAAAATGATTCTGCGTCCTCAAAATCACAAACACAACCATTTCCACCCAACCTCATTTCTCACTCTCAAAACACCTTCTTCCCATTGTACAATTTTATCTGGATGATGGCGTCCATCATTCACCTGGTTGGCCATCTAGAAACCTGGATGTCTGTCCAGCCTTCCATATCCAATCACTCTCTCATCACTGCCATACCTACATCCCAAGTGTCTCTCCACCAGTCAGTGTCTATCTCTTCTTCTCATCGCCTCAATTTTGTAACTTTACAAGGCTATCCTTATTTGCATTTTGGGCTGTTTTGCACAAGCAATTTTATTTTTTCTCTTATGGCTGGTACTGCACCATCTCATGACAAATTCCGTTAATGGAGAACAGATATTGTAGATATTTTACAACTTACTCTCTAATTATGTGCACTTACTTGATTAGCATGTTTTTAGACATAAACTTTGGTTCTATGAAAGAGAAATCAGTATCAAAAATGTGTCAATGAATACATCTTTTTTTTAATGGCAGTGCCTTCAAAAGTGAGACTCAGTTATTTTACAAAAACAAAATAATATCCCATCATCCCAACTCTGTAGGTTATACTATTTATTTACAATGATTCGATGACAGCTTAGTATGGTCACACACTATGCTAAACACTTTGTACAAATTAGGTCATTTAATGTTCACATCAATCCTAAAGCTGGGAACTATTATTATTCCCATTTTTCCTATGTGGCAAGTAAAAGTTAAGAGTTTCAGTAAGCCAGGCGCACGCCTGTAATCCACATACTCAGGAGGCAAAGATCAGGAGGATCCGGTTTTGAAGCCAGCCGGGGCAAATAGTTCCCCAAGACCCTAAATGGAAAAAACCCATCACAAAAAAAGGGCTGGCAGAGTGGCTCAAGGTGTAGGCGCTGAGTTCAAGCCCCAGTACCGCCAAAAAAAAAAAAAAAAAAAGTTTCAACAACTTGGCTAAGGTCCCAACTAAAAAAGTAATAGATTTTGAACCCATGGCAGATTCTGCCAATTTGCTATTCTGCCTCTTAAGGAAATACATGTTTTAAAACGGGGAGGACGGGTGGGAAGCACAAAACTTGTATCAAAGCGATGTTAGTTTTAAATGAAACATGTGCCAACAAAAAGTTCACACTATGGAGTTGAGTAGTTAAGAAAGGTCTTTTTTGGTAGCTCCAAAAACCTTTCATAAATATCAGCACACTAAAAAGACAGAGAACCACAGAAATTCAAAAAGAGAAAAGTGTAATGCATTTGAATGTTTCCATTCTTGGGACATCATAAGCCACAGAAATATCGTTTTATTAAGAGCAAAGAAATATCTAGTGCCTTATACATAAAGACATACCACAAAGAAATCCTACCAATACTAAAACCTCCCATCATCAATTCAATTTTTTTTTCTTTCCTGGTGGGAGAAAGCGGTGGTGAGCGGCCGGCTGTATACAAGTAGGCGAAGGGCAGGGCCACCTCCCCCGTGGTCACCTGCCAGGGCGCAGACCCTCGGTCCCCCATCCATGCCCCACCCCCACCCTCGGGCCGGGGGAGGGCACGCGGGCGCCCCCACAATCCACACGCCGCGGAGGTCGTGAGGGGTGGGCAGCCTCACCCCGGGGGTGCAGCCCGCAGCCTTCAACTTTCCCCGCCAGCCACAGCCTGGGTACGGGGGCTCCGGGGGCGCGGGCCGGGCTCCTGTCACATTGGCCAGGCACGCGCGGAGGCGTGAAGGAGGGGGCGGCCTGCGCCGGCGAGCCCGCCGAGCCCCGCTCCTTTTGTTGGGGTGGAGGAGGGCGGACCCCGCACCCCACGAGGGCACAGGGAGAGATGTTGGCGGGGGGACCACAAAGAATTTGGGACGCTCCCCCACTCGCCCTCCCGCCCGCGAGCCGCCGCCACCCTCCAGGCCCGGGCCGCGCGAGTCCCGGCCCAGGGCGCCGGCCCGGCTGAAGGCCTCGGCCCCTCGGTCCCCTTGGCTCCCTCAGCCGGCCGCCGGCGCCGCCACACCCACCCGCCTGCTAGGCCCAACCCAGCCCGGCCCGGAGCGCTCTCCGCTCGTCCTCCGGCGCCCGCGCGCCCCACGCCGGGCTGTACCTGCTGATCTTCTGGGCGAAGGCGCGGCGCTCGGCCATGGCTGCTGAGGCGGCGGCGCGGGGCTGGGCGCGGACCGGCGGGCGCGTGCCTCAGCTCGCGCTCCCTCCCTCCCTTCCTCGCTCGCTCGCTCGCTCGCTCCCTCCCTCCCGCGCGGCCTCCGCCAGTCCCGGCTCCGGGCCCGCGAGGCTTGAGGGGCTGGCGGCCGGAGCCGGGAACCAGTCCTGCCGTAATGCTGCTGAGAGACGCGCACCCAGAAAGCGCTCCTCCACCTCCACCCCCACCCCACCCACCCCCGTGCGTCAGTCCCCGCGGGCGCCCGGCTTGCGAGGGCGGCTGCGGCCGGCGGGAGTCCAGGGGAAGAACGGGGCGTGGCGGGACCCGGCCGCCAGCGCCCCCTCGCCGCGCCCCGCAGCACCCTGGAGGACGCGGGGACCAGCCCAGGGGGGCCGGTGACCTTGCCAGGCAGGAAAACCCGATAACCGAACGCGTGGGGGGGGGGGAGCTTGGCTTTCCCGAAAAGGCAGGGAAGGAAATGGAAGATGGACTTTGCCGAGGGAGCAGTGCCTTGCCGCCCTGCATGGCCGGAGTCGGGTGCCCGCCTGCAGCGTCCATCTCCCAGCTCTTTAACGCACTTTTCTTTTCTGCCTCGACGTCCTGAGCGAGGTCTGATCTAGAAACAATGGTTTTCCTTGTAGAAAAGAGACCAGAATAGACCTTTCTCTGCAGAGGTAACACATCAGTAGTCACAACTGATGTGCGGTGCATAGCCAGGCACTGGTTTTGACTTTTGTACTCATGCTGTATTTAATCTTCGCAGCAGCGCTTTCAAGTAGCTTGTTATTATCTCCATTTTAGAGAGAAGGCAATTGGTCCAGAGAGGCTAAGCGACTGCCTCTGGTCACACAGCAAACTCTTCATTGAGGTTCAAACCCAGAGCCCAGGCCTTTCTTTGAGGATAGTTTCTGCATTGATTGTCTTCCTGAGTCCATTACTAACTCCTTACTCCTTTTGGCTCTCTCTCTCTCTCTCTCTCTCTCTCTCTCCTTTACCATGTTGATGTTCCATTATTAAATCTGTTTTAACACTGAAACTGACTTCGCCCATAAGGACGTTTATTAATTCTGTTGTAATCCCATGTTTGGTTCCTAATGCATATTTACCGAATAGTGAAAATATGGCGAAACTAAGAAAAATACCTTGTCTACTGTGACACTTCTCCTCTTAAACATTACAAAAATTTAATATGGTATTTATTTTTATCCTCCCAATATGTCCTCATGGAGCAAATCAGGTATATTTTCCCCTCTTTTTCCATTGGAAAATCTGTAGCTCGGAGGTATTAGGTCAGTTGCCCTAGATCACACACTGAGTCAGAGGTGAAAGCCTATTATTTGGGCCCATAACTTCCTGTCTAGTGTTCTAGGCTGAGTGGGAGACTTAGTTTATTTGTACAGCAGTGCTCATTCCAGTGACATGCCCCTTTTAAAACACTTGTTTACCGGGATAAAAAGATAGTCAATTGGATGAGGACTTATATTTAGCTCCTACCTAAGGGTGGAGTCCACTTAAATGTTCTGAAAAGTACAAGGTAATCCAGATGCAGTTCTGCTATAAGAAAGCTTGAGCTCACCGACAAAGATGAAATAGGTACTCAGAGAATTTCTGATCAAAAGCAACACTGTGCCTGACCTTCAAGACTCTCCATGATAGGAACTCAGTCATATTCTGCCACTTCCTTGCTCTGTGTCCTTGAACAAGTTACTTAATCTCATCTCTAAAATGGGGGGAAATAACTGTACCTACTTGAAAGAACATTGTGAAGATTCATTAATTCATATAAAGTTAATTCGTGTAAAATTCTCAGAACAGTGTCTACCACATTGTTGAGTACTAATGGGTTAGCTGTTATTATTATCACTGTCATTACCGTTGCTCATCTGACACTTAAAGCTTCTCCTGGGTGCTCCGTAGTCCCTGAATCACTATTTTGCTCTCATGCTCCCTGCAGATGTTGTAGGTCTTTATCTCTGCTCACCAAACATCTTTTCAGTACTCTCTTAGAGACTGACCACATTTTGCTTTGAATAGTTCTTTGTATGCATGACTCACTAGCTGCCAAAATGCCTGAAAGGACATTGCATGCACTGGGAAACTTATTGAAAACATTCAGAGCAGGAAGAAGACAAGCAGGACCAAGCTGTATGCCAGGAGACAGAATCTGAGGACCACTCAAGCAGGAAGAGCTGGCAGGCACCCACCAAGTCCTGTGTGGATCAGGATTCATGCCTCACAGGGATCCAGTCTTAGGAAAAAACATATATGGAACTTGGCAATGGGAGTCAAAGTAGAATTGCTTTGGTTGATAAACATCCATGCTCCCCAATATCTCTCTCCACACACACACACACCTGTCTCAATCCACTGTACTTCTGACCAGCAGGTTCCCTCAACCTCAAATTCAAGGGTAAGCCTGTGGATGTAGTCCTGGCTAAGCAGATCACCACATACTCTGGCTTCTGTGTCTGGTTTAGGAATGGAACATAAATCAAGTCAAGACCATCAGGCCCAATCAGAACACAAATATTTGCTGAACCAGGGGACTCCACCTAAGAAAGCCCACCTGAGAGTGAAGCCACACACAGCAGACATAACAGTAGACAACTGAAAATAGGGCTGGGCGTGGTAATGCATGCCTGTGGTCCCAGCTACTCAGGAGGTGGAAGTAGGAGGATTGAAATCTGAAGCCAGTCCTGGCAAAAGCATGAAACCCTATCTGAAAAAAAAAATACAACGATTGGGACTAGAGTAGTAGAGTGCTTGCCTGGCAAGCACAATGCCCTGAGGTCAATCCCAAGTAACCTCCCACCGGAAAAAAAAAAAAAAAAGATAAGCTCCTTATAACATGACATAAGCCTTGGACTGTGTTGCTTTGTTTGTTTTTTCTTAAGCTAGCTTGAGTTGGGCTTTCAGTCATTAACAATTGGAAGAGTCACTGATAAAAATGTTCATCCAAGTAATATTCATTAAATACCTACAATACTAGACTCAAGATACAATGGTTCTTATCTCCTCTAAGAGTTTAGAGTCTGGTTAATGAAATGCATGTGAATAAGCAGTATTTTAAATGTTGAGACAGGAGATCTTTAGGAAGCTACTTGAGTACATTTAAATTCTAGGTATCATCAGTCACGCCATTTGGTGAAGACTAGATTATCACCAGAATGTTAATTTAATATGAGATGGTGAGAACTGAATGGAGTTGAGCCCTGTTTTAACCTTTGTAGGTTATAAATCTGGGAGCATCAGCGGTCCCACCATGGACTGGGATTCAGGGCCCAAGTTCCCCACTAATAGGACAATACTGGCAAAGACTCAGAAAATGTTTTTAAGTGAATAAAAGCCATGGACTAAAATATTTTCAGATCCTACCTTGATTTACATTTCCCCACAAAAAATGACTTCTATTCACATAATTAGTTTATGAGGGAAGTGTGACTAAGAATCTGGAATGATGGAATGAAGAGAGTGGAGGCAAAGTTGGTAATGGTGCACTGTGGGGTGTTACCATGTGACTCCGTGAGCCTCACTGAAGCCGGTCCTGCCCCCATCCTACTTACAGTGTAGAATGTACCTCAAAACTGTCCCTCTGAGACTGGGTATACAATAGCTAATGACTTCTAGAGCCCTGGTTAAAGGCTTATACTGAGGACATTAACTACCCCCACCACACTGCAAAAAGCTGAGAGATACAGTCAGTGTTCCAGGTGGGAAGTCATTTATATACATGAAAACCATCCGCTGTAGCTGCAGCTAGTCAGAAAGAAGATGAAGGATGGGATCCCAATATTATGTATTACAGATCCGCTGGGAGTGATGAAGAGGCTTCATAGCAATCCTGCTGGAAGAGAACTTATTTGTTATATGGAAGAAATAGAACCTCAGCATTCTGGTGCTTTACAGAGCTGGGAAGAGGCAAAAGGCCTCAGTCAATATGACCATTGTCAGGCTAGGTACCGACTTAAAAAATAGACCCATAACCTATTTCCTGAGTGAGCTGTATGTTAGGGGTCATATTCAATGGGGGAAGTTATTTTGAAATAATTCTAGCTGAGAAATATAGTCTCTAATGAAATAAGGAACCTCAGCCTGTATAGTCCAATACAGTAGACAATAGCCACATGTGGCCATTTATATAAAATTTCAGTTTTCAGTTGTATTAGCATGTTTCAGAGTATTCAACAACCAGATGTGGCTAGAGGCTACTAAGTGCACTGACAGACCATTTTCATCATCATAGAAAGTTCTATTGGATGGTCAAGTGTGGTGGTATACACCTGTAATCCCAGCACTTTGAGGCAAGAGGATCATGAGTTCAAGTCCAGCCTGGGTTATGGAGTGTGTTCCAGGCCAGCCTATGTTACATATCAAGATTCTATCTCAAAACACCAAAAAAAAAAAAAAAAAAAAAAGATGTTAGTAAGTGTTGAGGAATATGAAAAAATTGGAACCTCATATATTACTTCTGGGAAAATATTATAGTTAGCCACCGTGAAAAACTATCTGACAGTTTGTCAGAAAGTGAAACACAGAAATAGTTACCACATGACCCAGAATTCCCCTCCTACTTATATACCTGAGAGAGATAAAGACATGTCTACACAAAAACTTCACTCAAATGATCATAATAGCTCAAAGCTAGAGACAACCCAAATGCCCAGCAAGTGATGAGTGGATAAGTAAAATATGGCATATCCTCACAATGGAATAATAGTAATAATTCAGCAATGAGAAGGAATAAAGGATTTGGATATGCTACAATATGGGTGGTCCTTGGAAACACTACAGTAAGTAAAATAGACCAGTCACAAAATAAAACATATTGTATGATTTTGTTTGTATGAAATTTCCAGAATAGACAAACCCACAGTAGCAGAAAGTAGAATAGTAGTTTCTAAGAGCTGGAAGGAACCTGGAATGGAAAGAAAGCGATGCTGATAGATACAAGGTTCCTTTTTCTTTTTTTTTGATACAGGGTCTCCCTAATGTAATTGACCTTGAACTCATGATCCTCCTGCCTCAGTCTCCCAAATGCTTGGATTACAGATACACA